GTGGTATTAACCCTTATTCTTCACTTGATCGCTCAGCAGTCAAAGTTTAACCAATCAAAAAAAGGAAATTTTTAATTTTACATGTAAATTTTACTGAATAGGGGTGGAAAGGATGTAGGGAGAAGTAAGTGGATTAAAAAAAAAAGTTGAAAATACTACGTGGGCTATGTTGACTTTATGAGTTTTTGTTTGGGCCTTAGCATATCATTGGATCACACTTCAACATGTTCTTGAAGAACCTGGGCTTTGTGATTTTTTCCGAGTTGAGTTTACAATTTCATATTGTTTTGTGTGTATGGGTGTGTACGGACGTAAAATTAAAGAAACTCCAAATAGATATTAGTAGGATTTTTAAAATTTGGCATTCAAGAAAATTCATGGTCTGGGAGGTGACTTATGAACATATTATTAATTTCTGTAGAATGCATAAAAGAAAAAGAAGAGGTTCTTTTTTTTTTTTTGTATAGTGCGAGTGGGGAGATCTCAAATCTTGGAATTCTCATTTGTATAATTGGTGCAAATTTGTTGAATTGGTGCAAATTTAATTTGTTGACAATGATTAATTTACTTCAATTTTTTTATTTAAAAAAAATAACCAATTTAGTGATGAAGAAAATCAACTTAATTTATATTAGTGTGAAATGCCATTGAGTGCTTCTCTAGTTGTGGAAACAACAGATGAGGTCCAGGAGTAAGAACTGGGTGCAAAACTCCGAATTCATGATACAATCGACCAATCAACCTCAAATTGAACGAATTTTGACAACTTAGGTATACATGTTGCACTGAAATAGCCTTAAAATCCATCATTTGCTTAAAAAAGAAAAAAAATTATATTTTCACACATAGAAATAGTGGGACATTTATGGGCCTTATAAAATTAATGATCTATGGACAGATATCTCCACTAGTAAATTTTTTTCCCTCCTCAATCCACAAGTCATCGATTATTGGCGGTTAATTTATCTTTTGATGCAGAAACATGTTACCCCATTAAAAATCATATTCAATTTGGGCGAACTTAATCGATTAATTTACCACATTGAAAAAAATTGATGCATCGAGAACAATTGAAGAAAATTTAGGTGTATTGTAAAGTAAGAAAATTTGATCCATGACTTGAGGGACCTTTTATGTTAGGATACCTTGAAAATCAGTAACCAAGTAAGAATGTTACGTCAACCAGCACCCTTACTCGAGCTGGTTAAGAGGTCACTCTAAAGGTGCTTCTGATGTTAAAGATATGTGTATTACTTATTCCACATATATGGTTTTTTTTTTCTTTTTTTTTTGCTGACGGAGTGGGTGTTGGGTCAATCCTTACGAGGCCCGACTAATCCCACTCGAGTTAGGGAGGAGAGGCCCCATCCCCTCGAACACGATAATCACAGGATTCGGACCCTTGTGGGCATTGGACACCAACTCCTAAGGAGGCTTGTTAAGACCAATCGAGTTGTCCATGAGGGCCAGACAATTTGATGGGAGGCAAGGGTTAAACCCCTGACTTCCCATCTCACCAGGAGAGGTGGTGGGGCACGCACAATTATGGTTATGCTTTAGCTCAGTGGTTCCCACATATATGGTTTATTGTACGCACAATTTGTGTGGATTTACTTGCAGTGTTGCTCGAATGTAATTCGTGTGTATTCATAAAAAAAAAAAATTAAAAAGGTATAGCTGCACGGGCATCATGAGATGTTCGATGGTCAAGAAGCAACACGAGAATTGGAGGATATACAAGACATTGAAATGATTGGAGAAATTTACTGCAAATTAATTTGAAAGTGGATTGGAATTGTAGTAGTCTGTCTTGTGATATACACGCAGGGTTTGTCTAATGGATGTTCAATGAACAATGGTGAAGACGTATTTTAGGTGTTAGATCTTTGGAAAGGTAAGATTAATTAGGGAAAGTATATAAAGGTAAAGAAAAGTGATGATAATTGTTAGTATGTTTATATGCATGATAGGTTAGTTGGCGTTTAGCTATGTTAACAAATGTTTAATAGACACTCATTAGAAAAACTCACATAAACATATATATAGTCTACATGATATGGACATTAAAGCTTGTGCAGGACGGATTAAGAAACCTTTTCAAACTTCCACGTATTTAATTCGAACGCAAGGAGGTTCAAGCAAGAAACTTGGAAGACGTTGACTTAGCTCGAGAAAGAAGATTAAATTACTGCCCACAAACCGGTCCACTTAGCCAGTGGAATTTATGTGCAATCCGTCTGCGATTTTTGTGTCATTAATTTCTTTTTGAGATTTTTCCGATTTTGTTTGTTTTAATTAATTATTGTTTGATTTTTTTATTGAGTAATTTGGTTAGATGTATTTAGTCAATAAAATGGCCAATCTTGTGTTAAGTTTTGAACTTAATGGGCTTAGTTGAATCTAATAGTTTAGTTATTAAATAAGTGAAATCAGTCCAAGTTCGATTTGGATTTCGGTTTAGGTTAGGGTTTTGTCTATATAAGGTTTTAAACATCATTGTAATAGACGGTCGATTCAAATGAATGAAGCTTGAAATTTCGTTCTTTCTTCGAGTTTAAGTGGAAACTCTTGTCTTTCAAATTTTGGTTCATCTCAAGTGAGGATTTTTGAGTGTCATATCAGTTTGGTATTCACCTAAATTGTGACCGGCCTACCCTATTTTCCATCCCAATATTATCCATAACTTGATCAAGATAGATCTTTTCACTGCCTAGTCAAATTGTCTCTTTGAAAAGCGGGAGTTTGGAGAGTCAGGTTCGTATCACTACACCTACATGATATAAACAATTTATTACGTTTTCGGTGTGTACAACATTAATTTAAGATAAAAAAAAAACATCAACTTAAAGATGTAACTGTGTCCTAAATCATGTTCTTTGCTTTTTGATGAAGGAAGTACGCAGCTACATATGATTCTCTTCTAGTAGTCAGAATTTTATTAGAAAGAGAATTACTAGCCCATTAATTAAATTAAATTACTACAAAAAGAGGATACCAAACCGACCCTTAGCGTCATTAAGTGCATGCCATCTTTTTTCCAAGGAATATTTGATGGATAAATATGCATGATTGAATCATCCACATCACTTAGTCCATTCATCATGTGGAGAAAATCAAGAAAGGCATCTCTCTTGGCCTTTGCTCAGAAATGGAGAATCTGCTTGAGCACTTCTTGGTTCCTTCTCCTCCCTTTTGTACGGATCCATGTAACATGCCTGTTATTTGATTTAGTCAAAAGTCTTGTTTAGATTATGATATAATTCTTTTGGGTGGTGAGAGGCTCCTCTTTTTATTGAGGGGTCAGTCGTCATCTGGATCAAAAAATAACCTCTGCGTTTGTATTGGTCATTTTTTGAAAAATAAATTTTTCAAATACAATGTTAGAATAATACATCTACAGTAAAATATTTAAAAAATACTTCCAAAAATAGTTACAGTAAAAGTTTTTCACCTATATTACTACAGTAAAATATTTCAAAAACACCCCAAAAATAACTGATCCAAACAGAGAAAAATACTTCTTTTGCTCAATCAAATTGATTCTTTTTTAAAATTAGTAACTTGTATAAATTAAGATCTTCTTTTTACTTTCTCGGAACCTCTTTTTTTTTTTTTTTTTTTCTTAAAACTGTTTTGATATTCTCTACAAATTTCTTTAACTTCATAAGTTTGAAGTAAAGTTTAAGTGGCAGATTTTTTCCTTGGAATGTTTTATAAATTTCCTTCTATTTGTATCCCTTACAGAACCTCATATTTCTTCTACAGAATCTTCTAATTGTTCTAGAGCAGCTAGAAAGATAATCTCATAAAGAATTTGGTTCAGATGTAGAATAGCTACATATCTTCCCGGCTACGGAATGAGAAATCTTTCTCTCGTTACATGAATCCAATTTTCATTTGGAATTATTGGTCCAAGATATATCAGTAAAAGTAACCTATTTAAATAAAATACAGAAAATAATTAACAAATTCATTTGTCAGCAACATTAACAAATTCATTTGGATGCCCACAGGCAAAAGGTATCATGTTCTGTTCATTTGGAGAAGTCCAATCAGTATGCAAATTAGATCAAACAATATGATCGTTATTGAATTTTATCATCGTTATTGAATTAGATAAAAAAAAAAAAACTACCATTTCATTTTTTTTTGAACTACATAGGATCTGGATTAATCTTAATCGTTATTGACTTGCCAAAATATGCCACTGCCCGATCATACTGAAAGGAATAGAAATAGTAACTAGGATTTGGATTAATTTTGTAAATTTGGATCATAGAATTTTGTACAATAATTGTGAAAACATGTTAAATTGGACAGTTAGGGGGCATATTATGAAACCTGTCAATCGTGGAAAATTCAGTACATGATTAGAGAAAGAATAATCAATATTTTTCTGATTTTGACTTGTCTATCGAAACCATGGGCCGTGTACCATTCCGCACTCAGAATCAGTAAAGGCAAAAGACTGTTATCATCCACTACAACTTTCCATTGCAGAATCTTCAAGCAAGTTGAGATTCTATGCGTCGTGAGATGGAAACGGGTTTTCTGGTGCACCATAGTATGCAACATTCATTTTATGCCCTTTGATGTATTGACGTCTGTTCCTTTTGAATTATTATCATTATGTTTCTAGTTAAGTTGAACTCTTGAAAAGTACACGTATCAATGATTCAAAATATGTAACATAAGTCTTATACTTTAATGTATAATAGAGGATTTATAGGTGTAGCATAGGTATTTTACATTAGTGTGTAACAGAGGATTCATAGCCTCAGGACCTGTCAATTTTTTCCGTATAGTTGCTGATATGCTCCAGGCATCAACTTTTGTAACAAGATCTTAGAACCCTTTTAGTCTTTCCTTGAGAAAATTACTGCAATCATTCTCAGGTAGCCTTCTATATATACCTGCATGCACTTCAATATTTTCCTCAAAGCAAGCCTTAAAATTCCCCTCAAATCAAATACTACGTACTAGTGCAAATTTTCAATCCCAAGATCACTTCCCAATATTAGGATGGAAGCAGTGAGGAGATTGGGGTCAGAAAAGCCAGTGGTGATCTTCAGCAAGAGCAACTGCTGCATTTCCCATGCTATAAAGATGTTGTTAAGCAGCTTCGGGGCGAATCCTACGGTTTATGAGCTTGATCAACATCCGAAAGGACAGGAAATCGAGAATGCGTTGCTAGCATTAGGATGCCATCCAAGTGTTCCTGCTGTTTTCATAGGGAAGCTTTTTGTTGGTGGTTCTGATGAGGTTATGAGCCTCAATGTTCAGGGCAAGTTGAAGCCACTGCTTATCAAGGCCAACGCTATATGGATGTGAGATTAATCAGATGCGCTGAAACATCTAATGAATTAGCCTCGGTTCTTTTTTTTTTTTTTTCCTTCTGAAGAAAGCCACTAAGAATCTTGGATTAGTATAAACTCCTACAGGTGTTTTTTTGTATTCTAATCTGTGAGTTAGATATTCTATGTCTCTACCTTTTGATTTTGATGTACTAAGGGTGCCAGATACTTTTGTATTGCAGTATCTTTGTTTTTGTATGGTTTATCAAGTGGAAGTCAAAATATGTCACCAAACAATGTCAAAATTTTGCTTTTTCCTGCAGACCTTCTTATTTATTTACTTATTTTTTGGGTCAGTTTACTCATTGAACTCTTAAACATCCTTCATTGGTCATTTCTTAAGTTAACTGAGTTGATGTCCCTTGCATACTGTCATATCATGGGCATGCATTTCCTTCAGTTTTCTAGAAATCCCTAATACACGTACATTAAGAATTCTATGTGTATAAGGACACCAAAAAAAAAAAAAAAAAGATTAAGAGAGAAAAAGAAGACAAATTTAATTAATAGGTGAAATCAAACTCTGAAATAGTTTCGTAATTGCATTTTCTCGAAAAATGGCAACAATTACGTGCAATGACTATTGTAAGATCCAACTGAGACAACGAAGAAGAAAAGAAGTTCCGTACACAAAATTAGATCCTTAAATAATTTAGTGACTAAAGGTGATCTAACCAAAATTTTTGTTTGTGGGGTTTTCTTTTTTTTTGTTTTTGGGGGGGGGGGGGTGGCCTATATATAGGTGGCACTTTATTTCTCTCATACTTTTTGCTTTATTAGAGAAGTAAACTCAATGAGGTTCTTTAGTTTCAAGTGGAATGGCAAAGTAGTGATATTGGATATTAAACTAAATTAATCTGCAGCTTGTATTTTATTTTTTTGTGTTGCCAGATTAGTTTGACTTATTGTTGACTTACTACATTGAAGGCAACTATACCTAATTGGTAATTTAAGCAATATATAGTGAGACAATACTTGGCAGGAAAAAAAAAGGCAGAAGTGTTTCTGTATGTTAATGTTTACAACTTAGTATCTCAGTTAGTATGTTGGCATAAGCTCGGATTGAGATGGTTATTTTTTTTTTTTTCATTTCAATGTTAGATTTTGGACTTCTTCTACGGTATAGAGCCGGCATCAATCAACTACTGAACTATCACCCCAATGGAGAATGGAGTAGTCAATAATTTAGTGGAAGATCTTCTTCTAATATTCATTCTCATTCTACTCTTGGAAAAATGAGTGAAAATATAATGCATATGACCTCATGCATATGGCGGGCTATTGCACGGGGAAGGGTTTATCTAATGCGCACTCTCCAGTAGCAGCTGCAAGTTCTCTTGTCAACCAAAAAAATTATCAGTGGAGATTGGACCATAAACATTATGAAGTAACGCAATAAATACACCCACAAAAGACTAAATGTGGACACTAAAGTATTAACATGGACGCTAAAGTATTAACGTACAAATATCCCTTGTCTACCTTAATTGGGTCGACTAACAAATCGAAACCTTAAAAACCTGTTCAGAGAGTGTAATTAGTTAATTGCACGATTAGAACACGGAATTAACGAGCTTATATTGACTCCGAAGAAAAATTGTATGTCAAACAACTTTTCCAATGTAGATTGTTAGATATATACTAGAAGCTTGTTAGTCGGACTCCCAAAAATTTTTGTATTCTATATTCAAGATAAATAACATTCTTTTTCATATTTATTTTTATCATATATTAAGTAGTACTGAGAAACATGCAAATATTATACATCATACCGTTCAATTTTATAGCATTAAGTGTCGGGTTTAATTTGATCTTTACAGCGCGCTGCTTAGTAAGAATAGGGACTAAAGGCGTGATTTTTCATCTTTGAGAACTAATGAATTAACACCTTTACAAGTTGCTTATTATGCAAATATTATACATCATACTGGTCAAGTTTATAGCATTATGGTCGGCTTTGATTTGATTTTTATGGCTGCTTACAAGAATAAAGACTAACTGAAGACGTGATTTTTCATCTTCAAGAAGTAATTAATTAGCACCTTTACAAGCAGCTTGGAGGATATAGCGGTATCTAGCCTTCATTCCCTATGTCTCCCAATACTTCTCTCTCATATCTTAACTGGCTATTTTTCTTTTTTTTTTTTGGTTTGGAAAGAGGTAGGCAACTACTTTTTTTTTTTTTTGGTAATTCGGAACATGCCTCGACTTGAATCACTTAGGATCCGAACCGACACATCAGACCGGAGGAGTACTCCATGGCTTCACGCAACGCATCCGGGCGAGTCACGGGAGTTTAAGATCAGGGTAAGATTCGAACCCAGAATCAAATGAGTTCTTAAGAGTTCGCTTACCACTAGACTACCCCGTAGGGCAGACAACTACCTTTTATTCTCTTGGGTGGCTAGTCAACAACCTGTTGGTGAATATAGAAGTAAAGAAACTAATGAATTTCACTTTTAAATCTATTATGTTTTAGAAGATTGCACATTTTACACTTAAACGTTTTTCATTCCTGACATCTTGGCAGTATTTTTGATAACCATTTAGTGTCACTTTACACTTCCAATCTTTATTTTGAACGCTTCATATTTATCTCAAAATATGTATAATGAAACTATATGGACGATGTCCTGAAAATTGACATCAAAATCCATGAAACCCACACAAAATTTAGTGAAAGCATATACGTTCTTGCTCACTTTTATGGATAAAATTAACAACTATTTTGGATAATTTTTCAGTATGAAGTGTTTAAAACAGAATAGTTCCGAGGATGAAAACGTAAAGGATGTAGACATTATTTGATGGATTTATCATGTGGAGAAAATCTAGAAAGTGCATCTCTTTTGGCTTAGACTCGAAATATATCTCTCACAAGGGGGGAATCTGCTATTACTACCCCTTCTTGGCACTTTTTTCTGCCTTTGTACGGATTTCCGAACCATACCATTGTGGTTTAGTCCATGTTATGATGCTATGCTGTACCGTCAATTGGGTGGGTGGCCAAGAATCCCTTTCTTCCAAAAGAAAAAACCAAAGGGAATCAACTTTTGCTGAACAATTTATTTCTCCCTTTTTTATCAGTGGTCTTAGATGCAATACAATGTATAGTTCATCTGCTTAAAAGAAATAAAAGGCAAAGTAGTCATACTTAGCAAGCCCAAAAGGATATGATTTACATGGATTCTCTCTACACGGTCAAAGGATTTGGTTCTGTTCATCTGGAGAAGTCTAATTAATGTTAAGTTGAAGCAAGGTCTGGTACATATCATGACCAGCGGTCAAGAAGAAGGCAATGTCTTTTAATTAAAATGGATGCATTTATCTTCACTTGCTTGAAGATTCTGTTCATTCTTCTTTTTCAGTTATTTGGAATTCATGACTCAAAATTTTGTAATATTTTGCAGTTTCTTATTAATTTGATTTCAGAATTAAAGTCATTTTAGGGCATGCCTATATATGCTGTACAAATTACACGTGCAAAGTCATAGCATAATTGTCCATATTTTGACTGTACCTGCTGATCTGAGGCCTTTAGTACAAAAAGCTAATATTTGTTGTCATTTGATTATTTCATCCAGTGATTTTAGGTTCTGATATTTTAGACAGTCTGTTTGGTTGATTTTCTCATTTGCTTTTGTATTTATAATTTAACATTTTTAATAACCAAAAGGATTGAAATTTAGAATCTCCCTGAAAGTGGTTTTGACTGATTTTGATTTTTCTTTATGATCACTTGTCATAGTCAATTTTTGCAATAAAGAAGCCCTAAATTTGGTGGCGCTATACAAGCTATCTACTTTTGAAACTTCAAAATAACAGCAAAGCAAGAATTTCTTTGATTTTGACAATCTAAGGGAATCCACGAGCCTTGTATCCTTTTGCCATCATAATCTTCTAGTAAAGGAAGGAGACTGTTATCATCTATTAATTCTTTCACTTTCCGTCATAAGATGCAAACCTCAAAATGTTTATGCAACTTGAGATTCTATTCTCTGTGAGACACATTAAGGTACTATAGTATAGATTACAATCCAAACACCAACTCTAGAAGCAAATTCTTACAGCTTTCTAAGGATTCCTACTTGAAGAAAACTATATATATGCAATTCCAAGGCTCTAGGCCTCTATATATATACCTCATGCAATTCAGGTTTTTTTCAAACCAAGCCTCAAACTTCCTCTCAATTCTCAACTCAACACTAGTGCATATTCTGAAGTTCTTGACTAGACTTTTTTTTTTTTTTTTTTTTTTTTGTGTCAAAAGTAGGATGGAAGCAGTGAGGAGCTAGATTGGGGTCAGAAAAGCCAGTGGTGATCTTCAGCAAGAGCAATTGCTGCATTTCACATGCTATATATTAGGATGTTGTTATGCAGCTTTGGCGCGAACCCTACTGTTTATGAGCTTGATCAACATCCTAAAGGAAGGGAAATTGAGAATGCATTGCTAGCATTAGGATGCCATCAAAGTGTTCCTGCTGTTTTCATAGGGAAGCTTTTTGTTGGTGGTTCTGATGAGGTTATGAGCCTCAATATTCAAGGCAAGCTGAAGCCATTGCTTGTCGAGGCAAAGGCTATATGGATGTAATAACCAGAATATAGTTAAGCACCCAAAGGATTTGGTTTTGCTATTTTAATTGTTGTCTTTTCCTTTTGAGCAAATTAAGCAACCCAAATTCAGGTAGGGCTTTAGCATGGGCTCCTACCATTTTTATTAAGTGTAAGTTTTATTGAGTTTTGAGTGACTTTTAGTCATTGTAATATCAAATGTACCGTTCTGATTTTGATGCACTAATAAGGTTATAGTCAATGATGGTATTTAATGCCCAATTGTCCTATTAACATCTTGTTTGTACGTTTGAGGTTTTTATTTTAAGTGGGAAGGGATAAGAGATAAGCTTACTTAATTATCTTCCCTGGTAGTTTTGCTTTGAAGGATGTGATTTAAGCTTTTTAATTTTAACTGATCAATTGGAAATGAAATGAGTTAATAGTTAATTTTGTTCTCTCAGGATCGACTTTTGATTTGCTTGATAGCTGTGAATAGTCTTGCTAGATTGGTTGTAGTAATTTGAA